TCAAGTTGCTTCAATTTCACAAAACATTTTTTTTTACTATTATGACAAACCACTTTCTTGGTGGTATGCTGACATTACCCTGGATACCGTGGCTCTTGATACATCACAAAGACTTGCTGTTTTGGTCACAGATGCGCCAGCAAGACGTGCACCAACAATTTGTCCTCTTTTGAACTCTGGTATGTCACCCATAATGTTGTGTGCATTGCAATATTTTGAGCTGTGCTCTTACCCTGCTAATTGAACCTACACACTCTGCTCTTACTGGTGCAATGTGCAGTTAATGAAGATTGGCCACCTGGCTGATCCAATTTAGCCATGAAAMATCCCACACYAAAATGACAGGTGTTTCAGTTTCATTGTCTAAWSCCTGTATAGATGTCAATAATTGATTCAAGAAGACAATTCGCTACAAAAGTCAAGATTTTTATAAAAATGTGCAGAGGCAAACAGTGTCTTTTTTATATAAAAATTAGGAAAAGTCACTGTATCCTTGCCAAGCAGCCTCTCAGGTTATGTTGACATAATACTATTTTTTGACAATGACTACGAACACTCTTGTTCTTCCTCTAAAATCACAAGCTTCTTWGTTATGCTTTAAAGTTCATCAGCACGTTTCAGACACATAGGAAAATTATTCTTTTAAAAGGTGCCTTGAGAATATTTTAAGAGATCTATTTTAGAATTATAGAGAATGGCACCGTACGATTTAATCTAGATAAAATTTCATCAAAGAGAACCATTGTGGGGTTTAAATAGCAAACCTGTTACTGAAACCTCAAACGCCCCCTCACTCATCAAAGGCAGAGACTTAAACCAAAGAGGAGGAACAGAAAAAAATGCAGTCTATTCTTTGAATTTTGTATGTTTAGACTTTTATAGCACTTRTGCGTGTCCTCTGTAAGCATGTGTGCATTTATATATGAACAGAGGTGTATCTGTAGTGGCAGTGGGTGCAGTCACACTAAGGCTCTGCAGCRTGACTCATTCTGCCAGCTCATAGCAAGGCTTTAATTAAAACACATGCACACATATAAATGCAGCTGTATGAAATGAGTACTAACACATGCAAAAGCCTGTAAGCAAAGCGTGATCGCAGCTGAAAACAAATTTCAAATWTCATTTAGTGTATGTTTAAAGCAGGTGATTTCTTGATGTCCCTAACATGTAAAATTAGACAAAAATAATGCAGCTCACATAGAATCTTACAGAGCATGTTAGATGAGCTGTCCTATGTTTTCATAGCATGCAATAGATTAGATGTCCTGACCCATGTTCTAGTCTAAGCGGTCAGCAACTTTCTGAGATGTTCATTTCCCTGTTTATGAGTAGGAGTATTTGAGTTTATGCTCTGCGTGTTTGTGCCTTCTTTCCCATCCTTGCAAGTAACATCACCTACAGCAGCTTTGATCTGTGAATTTGTTTGATCTTGGAAGCTTAGAAATTTCAGAATTTATTAGTAGATTAACTCAGTTTGAGGAGTAGATGTATGTTATCTGAGCCATTTATCAGAGAAAGTGTTTCAGGCCTCTATTATGTCTGAAAAGCCACACAAGCTCTTGACAAGGGAACATGGACCCTTTTTAATATGTGTTCTTTAGTACTTGGTTCTGCCTTCAAGTCTCTTCATTGTCAATAATCTGAGTTTGAAGTGCTTTTCTTCAAAATACCAATTTTAAAGAGGTGGTCAGAGATGTGCCTTTGGATACCCATGAATGACAGAAAATTCAAATTAATGTAAAGCCAAGTTATAACAAAACCCATAATAAGTTAAAGTAATTACGGTAAGTCCTATAAAATGAGTTTACAAACAGAAACAAAAAATGATATTGTACCAACCATTATACAACCATAGTGTACTTCAACAAGAGGTACAATAAAAAAGAAAAAAAATATTGTAACAACGAATGTTTTGGTGAGTAATGACAATTCTAAATTTTCTAAAAAACAGAACAGTTTTCAAAGTGTTTCTCAATGAGCACTCTTCTTAAAAGGGCCAAAAATGGCACCCCAACAAACTGGTAATTTATCTTATTATTCAAACACAAGTACCTGACTCTGATTAGACACTGAAAGTTATAACTAACACAACTAAACACAAAACTGTAGAGCAAATAATGAGACTGACTGTCATTAACTGCTAGACTGCCAGTCATCTCACAGCTCAGTCAAAAAACACTAATAGCACAAGAAGGCACCACACAAAGGATATAGAAACACTTACTAGTTTTTTTTTTTATCTCAGATACTGTGGGTCAATCAAATCGATGATATTTTGTTACCATGTAGAGGGTGAACTTTAAATGAAATGTAATTATGGCCCTTCATTTTTCACCATATGCTTTTATGTATTAGAAAAATTAATAGTCAATGAGCCCCTTTCCATCACACACATTATCAAGTCAAAAGCCTGCCTTTGTTTATGCTTAGGGCCAGGTGAAGCCACCTTCTGTTTCCATGCATCTCACTCACACAGCACTACTTTAGCTCTTCGTCTTTGCCATGCTTTACCTTTCTAGCTCCCTATTTCCCCTTTTGAGCGCCTGGTGCTTCAGGGAGCCACCCACCCACACCAATCAGCAGACGACTTGTGATGCTCTGAAACACACTCCCTCACCTAGAACATATAGTGCAGCTGAAGGAAAGCTAAAAGTACCAGCTTGTGTGTGTTTATATATATACACCAAGTCCAGAAGGCCCTTGAAATATGCACAGCAGTCCCATGCATAATACATGGGCACAGCAGGAGAAAAGAACTTGTGAGCTGAGAGGATCTCTGCCTCTCCATCTTCTCAAACCACCCCTCCTATCCTCTTCTCCGCTTTCCCCTCTCTCCATAACACAGTCTGCTGATACTGCTGTGCATATGTCTTAAATAACAACTGTCTCTCAGGGTCATTTGTGGGTCATGAATTGTGATGGAGGGATTGCATGAAGGCTAGAGAGAAAAAATAGATGGCAGCAGGAAAAGAGAATGAGGTGAGACTGCACAGTCACGGAAAAAAAAAGACATTTTTATGCTTGGCAGGTGAGGAAATATAACATAAAGAGAAAGCAGACAAATGATTCACTGTTTTTCAGTCAGCTGAGACCAAACTAGACATTGTTTCAGTAGGATCACTGACTTTACAGGCTGGCTGTCAAAAGGTCATAATCTGCAGACACCACAAAATGCAGAGCTGTAGAAATCCAGCTATATGTTTGTCATTTATCTCCAGACAGTGAAATCCAGCTCTAAAACAGCTCCAGTGCTTGAGTGACGCTTTTTAGCTGCTAGATTTGTTAAGCAGTCTTATGCAACACTTACCTATTCACCAATTCTAACCTCTTTAATTGACAAAGTTTTAAATTCAGTGTCTGCTTCCTGAATCAAAACTTTTCAAAGTTTAATCTGACTCATGGGTTTGCCTATTTGGCTAATGATTTGAAACACTGATGTGTTAGGATKGCCTTGCCTTTTTTTATATTAACTACTTAAAAGGGATCCAAGATTACTTGTAACATTAGACATTATTTGATAAAAAATTACCGGTACTTAAACTGTAAAACAAAGACTATAAAAATACTGTAGGCTGTTTAGTTTTTATAAATTTTTTTAAATATATTGTAACACAGCCATTCTTTTGTTCAKTAGGTTTTCTGGTGCAAGGCTGTGAAAGCTCTTATCCATCCTTAAAGTAAACCCTGGACAATATCTGATGATCAGCTCTTTTAAATAAAACTGGAGCACCTTGACAGACAGGAGAATGTAGAAATGACTCAGCCTGCAATTGAAAACGTGGATGGAGTACAACAGAGTTGCTTCATGATTCAGAGAACTTCAGTTTAGCCTGTTAGCTTTTGTGTTAGCRCCCGAGCTAACACATACATAGTWTGTATATGGTGACATAACATTAGCTATGTTTAAACTAACGCCACATATTTATTAGTAACAAAAATAACAATATTAGCTCAGTGCTAACATGGGAGCTAACAGACTTTGAAACCAAAACCACCCAGAGACGTGTTTTCTAAAACTTCAGTGGATTTCATGGTAAACATCGTCATTGTTGTTGTTGCCCACAAAACCATTTACTGTTTCAACTACATAAAAAAGCTAACAACATCATATTGTATAAAATGTGTTCAAAATTAGCTCTGAAACTGATAGTATTTGTATCCAGTTTTATATTGTGAATATGAGAAACAAAAATGGAGAAATAAAGAAAAAGTATGTATGGCTCTTTATCTGCTCCTATTGTTTTATCACTAATATAATAAATTGCTTGTTTTGTGGAATACCTTATCAATATGAACTCTCACTGAAATGTGTTAAAAACATGTTACATGATAAAACTAATAGGACACATCAAACTGCTCCCTGCTGAGCCAGGAAAACTAATAATAATAATAATAATAAAAAAATCACAATAGCCAAAAATAGTTACTGTAGGAAAGGAGCTCCTTCACAAACCTGAAGTCTACACCACATTGCTCTCTGGATCATACAGTATTTTATTGGTMTTTAATCTTTTCACAAGCAGGGAGACTGCAGTAGTTTCCTTGTTTGTTTAAAGCAATACAAATGCAATATTCTAGACAGGAGCATTGGATGCAAACTGTGCACAACTAAAATATTGTCAGCTAGTAGTTTATAAAGACTGAACCATTTAGCAATGAACTCCATGGTAATCACTGTGGACTACGAAGTTCACTGTTGGGTTTAGCGGCAGGCTCAGCACATATTGCTTTTTGGTCTGAAAGCTGGTGTGAGTGACAGTGTAGCTGTTGTAAAACTTTAGATGTTTACAACTGAAAATAAAAGTTAACTAATCTTCGAAAAGAACATAATCTGCAGGTGAACAACAACTGCATTTCAGCCTAAGTGCTGCTTGACTGCAGGTCAGTCAAATCATTTGAAGGACTTTTTAACCGAAAGTGGCATGTTTCCACGTTGGTCTGAATCTCGAACGTGAACTTTCACAGATTAGCTGTAAACACCAGGACACTGAGTAACTTACAATGAGCTGTTTGAGGCCCATGAAGGATTGTTCCACTGAGCTGGCGGTGAGGACCTGCCTCTTCATGGCTGCCTGCTCTCCCAGGAAACGAATCATCAGGTCTTTCACAGCATCGCCCTGCATCAAAACACATAAATTCGACATTAGCATTTTAAAGGAGAAAACACCAACAAGAATCAGAGTTGACACTTATGTGCAGAGTGTTAGCCTAAAAGGTAACTACACATTTTTCAACAGMTTAAGAGGAAAACACATTTTAATTAAAAAAAAACTGACAAAAGAAAAAAAAAAATGCCGCTTTAAAGTAGAACTAATTTGCTGAAAACTGACTCCTGGAGTAGGGTCCTTGATTTTTATTCATTTATTCAAGCAGGCATTCGAACAGAGAAAAATAAACAATCTCAGCCTGGGGGTTAGTGGATGTACCCCACAAGTATCCAAGTGATGAAACTTCAGTAGTAAACTGATGTTGTATCAGGGCTGTAATTAGAGCTACATGGTAGTGTTTAAAGAGTTCAGTGAATGTTTATAAAGATCCTGGAAAGAGGAAGAGAACATGTAACTGTAATTACAGATRTCTCAAAATAATGCTTTAAATTACAGCTGGAGTGTAAAAGGTAAAGGTCTTAGGTAAAAACAACACTAACAAGACACTTACATATACTAGTACTTAGTAACTTTTGTGTATGAACAGCATATATTTAATTTTTTGGYCTGATTAAAAAATGTTAATATACATTTAGTTTTGTATTTCAGGTCTGAAACACACTCCCCCAAAAATCTGGACAGTTTCTTTGGAATAAAAAAGCCACTTTGACTGCAAAATGTAAAAAATACCAAATAATGCAGTGGTGATGATTTTACCTGCAGGTTGTCAAATTTTAATCCAGGCATTGTGAGTCTGGTAGTCTCTAYGTATGCTGGGCCGTACTGCTGGGTGGCAACAGAAATTAACACCTTCCTTGTCTCCTCACATGGCAGCCAAGCATCATAGCGCCTGTCCACCTCACTTAAGCTCAGCGCTGTTGCAAAAGGATCATCACTGCCCGAGAACACAGACTGAAGCTGGTTAAAGGGCTGTGCTTGTGAGGCTGGTTTGGTCACTGGGGCCAGAGTTGGAGATGGGGCAGTCTGTGGTGGAGGAGCTTGGGGCTTGATGGTTGGTTCAGTGAGGGCAGGTCCAAAAACTGAAATAGGAGTGGGGGCACCAGAGTCTAAAAGTCCTCCTGGGGTGGACCCAGAGGAGGAAGTGGAAGAGAGCTGGCGCTCAGCTGTAAAACTTATGGGTGCAGACGTGGCTTCAGGAGGAACCTCTGCATTGGGGTTTGAAACTGATATGAAAGAGGATGGAGCAGTGAAAGAATCGAAAAAGTCAGAGGCTGGATTGGTCTGTCCATTGTCTGTGAAGAACTTACTGAGGCTTGGACTGGGCTGGCACACAAGTGGGGTGGGCATTTTACTTGGAGTCATTGCTTCATCACTGCCACCACTGCTTCCCAGGGTAAAGCTGGGGGACTTTATCAAGGTGGGCTGGAAACCATCAGGTGCCAGTGACTTTGGCTGGCTGCCGTGGCTAAAAATGGTACACACCGGCACAGGCTCATCTTTTGGACTAATGCCTTTGGTTGACAGCGGTTCTGGTTCCTCAGTCCGGATAACAGATGGAGTCAGTGTTTCGCCTTGAAATGAAACAGAAATTGGAATTTCTACCTGTGTGTCCAACTCTTCCACTTCTGTGTCTGCTTTGGAACATTCATTTTCCTGCTGGTCCACTGGAACACTAATCTCTGTTGTATTCTGTCCAATTTCACGTTCTTCCTCTTTGATTACTGAAGAAACATTCTCCTCCTCCCCTCCATCCAGATAGGAGTCAATGGGAGCCACGTCATCTTCTTCACTGTTGTTGGGCGAGTCAGAAATCATGACACTCTCCATCATTTGATCATTGAGTTTGTCCATTAGGCTCTCAGAGGGCGTGGCACTGCTGTCCTCTTGTGGAGTTACAAACTCCCTGCCACCCAGATCAATGCTGTCCTCCTGGCATAGGAYGCTGTCTTTGGACGGTGTTTGACTTGTGGTTGTTTCAGCGGACTCTGGAACTGGAGCTTCTTTGTTGTCATCTTCCACTGTGATGCCCAAAGTGACAGGTCGCTGGGCATGAGCCTCTCCTGCATCCATTTTACTGCTCCTAAGAGAAACAAAAAATTATCACTGTTTTCATGTTAGATGAACAAGGGATTACATTATTTTGAATTCATTTTTTGGAACAACTTCCTGCAGTGGTGCTAACCATCTCTTTGGACAGGAGATAATTRGTTCATAAATACTAAAAGATGGCTTCCTTACTGAGCTATTATAAAATGCACTTTTTTTTACATTGTAGAAGCAAGTACTAATCTAAAAGGGATGCATCAGCTTTCTCAAACTTTCTTTAAAGTATTAAGAACAGAAAGMCTCCCTCGTACTAGCTGTGAATGAAGAGGGACCCAAGGTAATATAATAATAACCAAAGCCAATTGTACTTGTTTGCTAAATGGTTCAAGCCCTTGTATTTTCTGATTACACATAAAAATAGGGAATCTCTGAAATTGCCTACGTTGGTCTATTTTCAGGAAGCTGTACACATTTACTTCCTGTCACTACTTCCAAAAACAAATGATTACAAGCTTGTATCGTTCATACAGAAATGCAGCTATAGTGAAGGTTAGTCTGTAAGGTTTTTATTCTTTTACACGATAAAGTTGTAGCTGTTACTAGGGACTGTTTCTATTTTATTTTATTTTTTTTGGGACTGTTTCTATTTAGTGCTGCTAGCTAATGCTAATAATGCTACATAGCTGTTAGCCTTATTGAGCAGCTAGCTGCTGCTGTCACGCTCTTCTAAAAGCCATTAACGCTTTAAAATAATCGGAACAACGCAAACGTGTAGGCATACACAAACAAGCAAAACATTTTAAACAGAAATGCAAACACTTTCGACGTAATTTTCCTACCTTCCTGCAGACTGACGGATACAGGCGTAATGCGCATGCCCCACATTAGAAACTCGACGTACATTGCGCCAGGAGGGACAATCTYGTATTCTTAACAGTGTTTTACGTAAATTTACAAACTGGTACAACGTTGCTGGACGGCTCTTACGCTTCATCCAAACGCTATATTTTCATTTTTTTTTCAATCGCGGAAGTGATGCTGCTATGGTATGTTTTTAGTAGTACGTAACACAAAATCAACATTTTAAAGGCTTTTTTGTGTCGCACTGACTTTTTTAAAGGATAAGAAAGAGTTAACTGCAAAAATAAAATGGAAGACGACGCTCCTGTCATTTATGGTCTCGAATTTCAGGTAGGCTTTACCACTTCTACCCTTACTATCACAAACATCTTATTCTATTCTATTCTATTCTATTCTATTCTATTCTATTCTATTCTATTCTATTCTATTCTATTCTATTCTATTCATCGGTACGTTCTGCTTTGCAGGCTCGAGCACTCACAGCCCAAACAGGTGAGACTGATGCTATACGCTTTCTTGTGGGAACACAGTCATTGAAATTCGACAACCAGGTAAGAAAACCAGTTCACCAGCAGATAAATGCAAAACTTTATCCAAAGCAGATTTTCCTCAAAAATCAAAATACAGTATTTCTGCTCCTCTGCTAGCATAGTCATAGGTTGTTGCATCTTCTTTTAATATAAGTTTACTTTACTTTGAAGACCTGTTTTTGGCTAGATTGAGTTTATAGATGAAGTGAAAAACACAACACATATTTCATATGTTTTATTTTTACAATATTTGCCAAAACCATTTGCCACTTGGGTCCTCATCGCCATAAAATAAATTTATCTTTTGCATTGAATTCATCTAAGAGCGAAGCTCTCGATTTACCGGTCGATCTACGTTCCTACCCTCATCTATGGTCATGAGCTTTGGGTCATGACCGAAAGAACGAGGTCCCGGATACAAGCGRCCGAAATGGGTTTCCTCCGCAGGGTGGCTGGGCTCTCCTTTAGGGATAGGGTGAGAAGCTCGGTCATCCGGGAGGGACTCAGAGTAGAGCCGCTGCTCCTCCACGTCGAGAGGAGCCAGTTGAGGTGGCTCGGGCATCTGGTAAGGATGCCTCCTGGACGCCTCCCTGGTGAGGTGTTCTGGGCACGTCCCACCGGGAGGAGGCCCCGAGGAAGACCCAGGACACGCTGGAGGGACTATGTCTCTCGGCTGGCCTGGGAACGCCTTGGAGTTCCCCCGGAGGAGCTGGAAGAAGTGGCTGGGGAGAGGGAGGTCTGGGCCTCCCTTCTGAAGCTGCTGCCCCCGCGACCCGACCCCGGATAGGCGGAAGAAAATGGATGGATGGATGGATGGATGGATTGAATCCATCTAAAAGTTTTAACTGCACATTAGGAGCACGGATATTTTTTAAGTATAGATATTAGGTGTATGAACTCACATTCAGAGTATTTGAGAGATACCAATGCATATGTTTGTGTGTTTTTGCTGTTTGTTTCTAGACCAGTGGTTCTCAACCGTTTTTGGGCCAGCGCCCCCCTAGCCATGATTGAGGGCCCTTAACGCCCCCTCCCTCCACCTTAAAGGAGTCATAGACTACCTGTATTAAAAATGACTTATTATTATTATTATTATTATTATTATTGTGTTTATGGTTATCATTGCTTCTGATCAACAATTAGAAAAAAGCACTTTACTGAATGACAAACAGATGTATTTGTTTTTCTGGGAACAAGAAAGCCATGTTAACATTTACTGTTGTTTGAAAGAAATTGCAATCAACATTGAACTCAAATTAGGTAGGCCTAACAGCAGCCAATCAGAAGTGCTAAAAAAACAAATTCAAACATTAATTATCACAAATAGCAGCCAATCAGAAACAGCTAGCAACACACAACAACAGCCAATCAAAAATGCCAAGAACAGAAACAGTTTCAAAACAAGCTGGAATTTAAAAGTTGCTAAAGCAGAATGATATAAAGCTAACCTTCAAAAAAAAACAAACTATGTAGCAATTTTTTTTGGTGGAGTTTGGTTTGAACACAATTTAAAATTTGACGTATAGCATGAAGTCTAATTTTGACACAATTTGGAACAGATTTTTATGAAGAGCAAATCTTTTCCACTAAATTGCTCATGTGACTAGGACATAAGGGTGTCCAGGGACTCCAGGGGATTAATCGTCAAATTAATTGTTATCGGCTAAATACCACAATTAATCGTGATTATTAATTTATTTTTTTGCCAATATTGCCCAACCCTACTTTTTGGATGATTCTGTTCTGGAGCTACGAACTCACTGAATAATTTTTGCTTAGTTCTAGTATAATTAATGTTTGAGTCCTCAGAGATGTGCTCCAATGTCTGGTTGCATCTTCAGTAGTTTATCTTAGGTAAAATGCTTCTAAAAATGTTATGCCTATGATTTTTTTAAAAAAAATATGTTCTTAATTTTTGGTTTAGATAAGCAATATAAATATTTATTTCTTTTTGTCTTTTTTATTTAGCTAATTTTTACATTAATTCAATTTAATTTGTACTATTGATGTTACCAACAGACCAAACTAAATATTTTAAATCCTGAAGATTAACTTTCTTATTATGCAAAGGAACACAAATATCAAAATGTTTGACATTCTGAAAGAACTACATGGTAGTTATTTCAGACTAAAAAAAATTCTGAAATTTGTTTTTAATGAAATTGTTTGATAAATAGACATTTTTGCTAGGGATGCACGATATATCGGTATTGATATCGGTATCGGCCGATATTGGTCATTTTTTAGAATATCGTATCGGTCCGATATGTAAAACTGGGCCGATATTAATATCCCATATTGATTTCCCACTTTTTAGCTTTGTTTTTGTGTTTTGGGATGTGAGATGGTTGRTTGAGCAGCATCTGTTTGATCGTGATAGTGATATTGACGCTGCGCAGCCAGGAATAACTGAAGTAGTGAGCCATGTCAGAGGTCTGGTCATTTGTTTACCATATCAAAAAAAGACACAAGTGTGTTTGTGTGTATATGTATAATATACACTCACCGGCCACTTTATTAGGTACACCTGTCCAACTGCTCGTTAACACTTAATTTCTAATCAGCCAATCACATAGCAGCAACTCAGTGCATTTAGGCATGTAGACATGGTCAAGACAATCTCCTGCAGTTCAAACCGAGCATCAGTATGGGGAAGAAAGGTGATTTGAGTGCCTTTGAACGTGGCATGGTTGTTGGTGCCAGAAGGGCTGGTCTGAGTATTTCAGAAACTGCTGATCTACTGGGATTTTCACGCACAACCATCTCTAGGGTTTACAGAGAATGGTCCGAAAAAGAAAAAACATCCAGTGAGCGGCAGTCCTGTGGGCGGAAATGCCTTGTTGATGCCAGAGGTCAGAGGAGAATGGGCAGACTGGTTCGAGCTGATAGAAAGGCAACAGTGACTCAAATAACCACCCGTTACAACCAAGGTAGGATGAAGAGCATCTCTGAACACACAGTATGTCGAACTTTGAGGCAGATGGGCTTCAGCAGCAGAAGACCACACCGGGTGCCACTCCTTTCAGCTAAGAACAGGAAACTGAGGCTACAATTTGCACAAGCTCATCGAAATTGGACAAGAGAAGATTGGAAAAAACATTGTCTGGTCTGATGATTCTCGATTTCTGCTGCGACATTCGGATGGTAGGGTCAGAATTTGGCGTCAWCAACATGAAAGCATGGATCCATCCTGCCTTGTATCAATGGTTCAGGCTGGTGGTGGTGGTGTCATGGTGTGGGGAATCTTTTCTTGGCACTCTTTGGGCCCCTTGGTACCAATTGAGCATCGTTGCAACGCCACAGCCTACCTGAGTATTGTTGCTGACCATGTCCATCCCTTTATGACCACAAAACTGTTACTAGTGTGGTGTACCTAATAAAGTGGCCGGTGAGTGTAATTTGTGTGTTTGTGTAATATCTGTAAATATCGGTTATGGGCCATAACACCAATAATTATGTCGGATATTGATATCGGCTGAAATTTTCGTATCGGTGCATCCCTAATTTTTCCTAAAGTAAAACTAAATAAAATGTAAATCCACACTTTTAAAAACCTAAAAGCAGGAAATGTTACATTAAACAATCTAACAAAATTTGTTGGCAAAGCAGTTGTGGATTTGTGGCGATTGACAACTAACTGATTAGGTCCTTATTTGGGCTTGAAACAGAACAAAACAGAGAAAACAGATCATTAAACCTGCTGCAGTTACTGCTTATCTTGTCATTAAATAAACTGATCAGTCAATGGAATTATGCTCCTTTAAATAGTTAATCAATAAYCTGAGTTTTTTATGTGTTGATTAGGAGCAATATTCATTTCAGCCTCTTTGCATATGTGCACCTGCACTTCAACTGTCTCAAACATCCATTATGTTCATTCATCTGTGGTTCTGTTTGTGTCTGATTGTTGTTGAAGCTTTGCTGCTGTGAGATTGTTTGTGTGTCTGTGTGTATGTGAAAGAGACAGAATGAGGGTGTGTGCATGCATACATGCACATCTTGCAGAGGTCATTACAGAGACAGATGACAGAAACAGTTGGCTCTAAACAGGAGGAGAAATAATTAGCTCTCAGAGAAAGAGGGAGTGTTATCTGTGCTTTAAAAAAAGGGGAGCCTATTTTCTGGCCGACTTCAGTGTGAAAACAGTCTGGCACTGAATGGAGACGGAGTTCAATCCAAGTCTTGTGTAGCGAGGCTAATACAGAGCTAGTTGGGAATAGTGACAATGCATCCCAGTCTCTGTGTGTGATTTCCTATTACACATTGTCAGTAGCTTAATGTTCTCCTCCTAAATCTTCCACTCCATTCATCTGTTTTCTTTACCTGCTTGCTCTAGTTCTGGGTCATGAAACGCTACAGCCTCTTTTCAGCAGTTATTGGGTGAAAAGATGGTACTCCCTGGACAGGTAGCCGGTTCCTTGCCTTACCGGCTCCACATTATTACCACAAATAATTAATCAAACACACATTTACACATATGGAGAGTTTAGAATTACCCTAGTTTGCGTGTTTTTGGTTAATTGGAAGAAAAAAAAACTAAAACAGCTGGAAAAAAATCCATGCAGAACATAATGAAAACTCCAGTCAGGGGATGAACCTGCAAGCCTCTTCCGGTGAGGAAATTTTGC